TCAAACGACCGAGCAAGTTGAGCAGAAACGGTTTTTTAACCGAGCAAGAAATGGTTTTTTAACCAAGTAAGAAATGGTTTTTTAACCGAGTAGAAATGGTTTTTGAACCACACAAGAAACGGTTTTTTAACCGAGAGAGAAATGGTTTTTGAACCAAGCAAGAAATGGTTTTTTAATCGAGTAGAAATGGTTTTTTAACCGAGTGAGTCAAGTTGCTACGGTCAAACGATCGAGCTAGTTTTGAGTGGCTATGGTCAAACGACCGAGCAAGTTGAGCAGAAACGGTTTTTTAACCGAGCAAGAAATGGTTTTTTAACCAAGTAAGAAACGGTTTTTTAACCGAGTAAAAATGGTTTTTGAACCAAGTAAGAAATGATTTTTGAACCGAGTAGAAATGGTTTTTGAACCAAGCAAGAAACGGTTTTTTAACCGAGTGAGTCAAGTTGCTACGGTCAAATGACCGAGCTAGTTTTGAGTGGCTACAGTCAAACGATCGAGCAAGTTGAGCAAAAACGGTTTTTTAACCGAGCAAGAAATGGTTTTTTAACCAAGGGAGAAATGGTTTTTGAACCAAGCAAGAAATGGTTTTTTAACCGAGTAGAAATGGTTTTTGAACCAAGCAAGAAACGGTTTTTTAACCAAGGGAGAAATGGTTTTTGAACCAAGTAAGAAACGGTTTTTTAACCGAGTAGAAATGGTTTTTGAACCAAGTAAGAAACGGTTTTTTAACCGAGTAGAAATGGTTTTTGAACCAAACAAGAAACGGTTTTTTTTTTAATCGAGTGAAAATGGTTTTTGAACCAAGTAAGAAACGGTTTTTTAACTGAGTAGAAATGGTTTTTGAACCAAGCAAGAAATGGTTTTTTTTTTTTAACCGAATGAAAAATGGTTTTTGAACCAAGTAAGAAACGGTTTTTAAACCGAGTGAGAAAATGGTTTTTTAACCAAGCGAGAAAAGGTTTTTTAACCGACTGAGAAAATTGTTTTTTTAACCAAGCAAGAGAGGTTAAGAAACTTCCCTGAACATATTAGATATCCATACTTGGCAGGAGTCAATTGTCCTTCATGTTGTGTATTTATCAATAGGCTCGATGACATGCTTTGCATAAAGTTCAATGACTGGAGAGCATCTGTAGTTCACTGGGGAAAATTCTCGAATCATTGTAGGAGAGGATAAGCACCATGACCATTGAATCAAGCTCTTGCTTTTCTCTGCAACTCTCATCTCATTTTCAGATTTGTCAAGAGATTTCAGTTAAATAAAGCAATTATATTAACTGAAATAAAGCATCATAACCAATCAGCCTCCCAATCTAAATAAGGAAAAAAAAGGCTAGGGCATGGATAATATGTATGGATAGAAAAAGATAAACATGATTTTTGAATTGCATAACTTTTGATGCAACAATTTTAACAAAGCTAGAAAGCATTCAGGCTATAAAGTATTTGCTTCAAGAATTTATTTCTTTGCAACTCCACCAATCCAGTCTTTAGCATATGAGACAATGCCTACTTCCATGCCAAGGTGGACAAATCAACTCTATCTCCTTCCCATGAACTAACCTTCAATGTTTAGAAGACCGATCATAAACCATCAAGCTTTCAGTTGTACTAACTGACTTGGACTCACTGGAGGTAGGATTTTTTTTTTTTTTTCAAAGTTCCTTGACAAAGAAAGTTTCAAACCCTCAAATAAGGACTTTATATAGGCTTGTAATGTGGCCATGGGTTAGGCTATTATGGAAGAAAGGAATAAAAGCTCAAAATCCATATATTTCCCCTCACATTTCTCTCTTCACAACCCCGGTCATTAATGTGGGTTAACAAAAAGAAAATCATCTTGGCTTTTCTGAATTTAGATGATTGCCTTTTTCTAGTGCAAAAAAGGTGTTGACGACCACTTAAGATTTTTTTTCAAAATAAATTGAAAAATCAAGTGTGAAATATAAAAGAAAAAGAGAGTCGTCACTCGTCCAAATTCTAAGGTGGGACAAGTCACCTAAAATGGGTCTGCGCAGAGATCGGGGTTCGGGGGTTCAGTTAGGAGTGAGGAAGGGCATACACGCACCTCACAATCCTCCGTTTAAACACGGTTGCATACTTTAAAATTGGGGTTTTAATTCAACTCATTTATTATGTTTATGTTTGAGTCTTAAAAAAACAAACTTGAAAAAAAGAGATAAATCGAATCAAAACATTTTTTTTTTATTTTTGGACTGAAATACACAATATCAAGAACATGCATGCACAATAAGCACAAATAAAAATTAAATGGACTGATTTGATAAAAATAAAGGACTGATTTGAAAAAGTTTAAAAC